TCACAGACGCTGAGGTCGCGCCATTCTCGCAGAGGCATTCAAGCAGGTCGGCGCCAAAGAGTTCTTCCCACCCGGAGCCATCGTTGCAAAGGTCTCCGAAATCTCCGCCGCCGTCGCCGCACTTCGGCGGGCAGGTTCCGTCGATGGCGTCGTCAACAGCAGCGCACGCGGAGCACGGGAAGCAGTTCATTGCGGTATCGCAGTAGTTGTCGTCGCTGCAATCCGAGTGCGATGAGCAACCTCCGCCGCCGTCGCCGCACTTCGACGGGCACGTGCCGTCGATAGCGTCGTCAAAAGAAGCGCACGCGGAGCACGGGAAGCACTGCTGCGCGGTATCGCAGTAATTGTCGTCGCTGCAATCCGAGTGCGATGAGCAAGCTTCAAACGCCCTGGACGACACACTTGTCTGGGCAGACGCATGTTTCACCGCCACGAGGGCCCTCGCCAACTGCTGTGGGACGAGGGCGTCAGCCGACTCGGTGAGGCCAAGCACGACGAGAGCCGTGGCAAAGATCATCTTTCCCTCCTGCAGGAACGCAGAGGCGTGTGGCGACGGCGACAGCGGCGGCAGCCGGCAAGCGGGCAGTGTAAGGGCGGAGATGCAAGACGATCGTGTGGGGTGGAGTTGGTGTGGAATGGTGCTGGCGAGCGGGCGGGCGGGCGGGCGATCGGCACCATCTGTTTTGGCACCATCAAAGCTCAAGAGGTCGCCACGAGAAACGCCTGCGAGGCGCGGCGCCAGACAAGCGTAACAGAAATTGGTTTGTGGGGCGAGGTTCTTCAAATCGCCACTTCAGGGAGAGGTCCAGTGAGTCCTCGGAGCGACAGGCGAGGGTGGCGCTTCACAAGGCCGCCTGCTTTCCTTGTAGTGGCGCAGTCAGAGGGGCTCAGCGCCGAAATGTACACGTTCGTGCACAAAGGAAGAAGCAATAAAATGCAATGAGAGACACGCCCTTGAATAAAGGTAGAACCAATCAAAGCCCGCCGGTCCTCTTTATGCGTCGACCATCCTGGAAGAGTGAGATTCTTGAAGACCAACAAGAAATCGCGACGCTCACAGTGATTTTTGGGCTCGGCAGCTTGTTAGTTAGCCCTCAGCCGAAGCTGGGGCCGGTCCCGTAGCCGAGAGAGCCCGTGCCGATGAGTTCGACGCGGTCGGGGGGCCTTGCGGAGAGGCCAGCGAGTTGGCGATCGCTGTACTTCAAGGGGGTCATCAAGTGAGACTGGCTGACAAGCCAGAGGTCGATACTCTGGACGACCCATAGGATGCCACGAATGCCTGAAGGAGAGGGAGGCGAGGCCAGAGGCAGGCTCAGCTGCACTCGGGTGATCTCGCTTTGGTGGCTGAAGGACCCGATGGTCCTGTCACATTCGCGTTCCGAGTCGTGGGGGTAGAAGAATTCGTGTGTCTCGCGCCTTGCGGGGGGGGAGCGGAAAGGAGGAACCTCTTCCCAAGAGCACCACTCTTGGAGCGCCGCCACTACCAAGCCCTTGTCGGCCAGGCTCTTGCGCCGTTCGTCGTCCACCCCCAGGCCGGAGGACGACTGCGCAGGTCCTTGCACCGCGTGCAAGCGCACGCGGCCACACTTCGACGCGTCCAAGTAAACGCGACCGTCCTCCTCCTCATCCTCGTCGTCGTCTCCGTTCCACTCCTCATCCGAGCTGTCGTCCGGCGCCGCCACCTTGAGGCGGTCCGGCATCGCGGCGCGGCTCTCGCGACGCGCCATGATGCGAGCGGCCGGTGTATCCAGCTCCTCTCCGGCCTCGCCGCTCATCATTCAGCTGGGGTCGAAGGGTGAAACGGATGAGCACGCTCTTTTCGGCGCCCTTTTTCCTTAAACCGGACCCTTTTCTCTTACCCCCATTCCTCTTCTCCCTTTTTTCTTGCTCGCACTCGCCAAGAATTTTATAACAAAACTCCCTCGCACGACACTGGGCACGGGACGCGCCAGGCACTAACACTTGAACCAAGAATTCTTAAAAGAAAAACGTCGGCAGGACACCTACCGAGGTGCTTACACAGGGGCAAGCGATGCCAGCCTCCTCCGACTCGAGCTCTACATCGGAGGTCGCCAGCGCCACGGTGAGCTACAACCGTCGAGACCTCATCGTCTACGCGCTCGGAGTCGGCTGCACTGACCTGCGGCACGTGTACGAGGGTGCCGACGAATTTGCCGCCTTCCCGCTCTTTCCGGCGGTGCTGCTGCACAAGGGCACCTCCTTCGACGTGGTCGACTTTCCGTCGCCAACCCTGCTCCGCCTCGCGTCGTCCGGACTGGCGCTGCCCGGAGCGCGTGCGCTGCTGGACGCCGAGAGGTACATCGAGCGTGTCCGGGACGTCCCATCGGCCGAGGGCGCACACACGCTCACGTACCAGTCCCGCCTGCTCGGCGTCGTCCCGAAGCGGAACGGTGCTCTCATACACACCGCCGGCGAGCTGTTTGACGGCGGAGGCGCTCTGCTCTACCGCATGCGCGCCTCCGCCTACGCTCTCGGCGCCACCAGCGTGGCCGCCTCCGGCTGTGAGCCGTCGGCGCCGCCGACACCGCCGCCGCCGCGGGCGTGCGATGCGTCTCACACCGAGTGCGTCGGCGCGCAGCAGGCGCATACCGCACACAAACACCACCACCCAGACCCACGCCCATGCCCCTCTGACATGCCCCACGCCGTGCTGACATGCATGTGCCTCACCATTAGGCGCGGCTCTACCGCCTCAGCGGCGACTACAATCCGCTGCACGTCGACCCGGCCGCCGCGCGCGCACAGGGATTCGAGTCGCCAATCCTGCACGGCTTGTGCACGCTCGGCTACGCGGTGCGAGTGTGCGGTCCCGCGCCACTGCGGTGAATCTATGTCGACATGAGCGCGCTCCTCGGGGGGATAGGTGCGAGCGGTGCTGCTCCTCTGCGCGCGCGGCGACGCGGCCCGCTTCAGGCCACACACACACACACACACACACACCACACCGGAAACTTGCACTTGCAATGCCGTGGGGCTCCTGTAGCACGTGGAGACTCATTTGGCGTTTCCTTACTCGCTTCAGGGCGGTGCGCGCACGCTTCGTCGGCACCGTTTCGCCAGGCAGCTCTCGTGTGTGCTCCGCTTGTGGGCCACGAACCTACTCGGAACTTTCTCGGAATCGACTGTAGGCGACGTCGTGCGCACTCGCGTGTGGGCCGAAGGGCGGCGGGTGGTCTTTGTGGCGGAGGCCAAGGGCGGGGAGGAGCAGGAGGGCGCGTCCAGGATGGTCATCGGCAACGCGTACGTTGAGCTCGACAGGGACGCGGAGCTGGCCGTGCCAAGGCCAGTGGCCAGACTCTGATCCGTTACGGTTGGTACATGGTATGCTGTTAGTACTCTCACGAAGAAGAACGGAAATGAAAACGTCTCCTAGAGCGCCGTGGCGCACACTCCCCCACTAGCACTGGGCCGCCAGTGGCACGCTGCGGCGCTATATCTGTGGCAGCGCCGGTGCGCAGTCCGCAGAGCGCGGGGACATGTCAGAAAAGACGTGCCCCGCCGACCGGCGAGAAAACACATTGTGTAGAACATCCCTCTAGCCAACTCGCTATGAAAAAATGGCATGCCGCGACACAAAACGCACAGACACAGATCGAATATTAAACATTTAGGCCGGCGACTGCTCCTCCGCGCCGGCGCCCGCCGCACCGGCGAGGAAGAGTCCGAGGCAGCTCTCAGAGCTTGACTCGAGGACCTCTGGCGCCTCGTCGTCCTCCTCCTCCGCCATTGCCCACTGCGCCTGCTCTATTGCCTCCATCCGCTCCTTCTCCAGCCTCGCCCACTGCGCCTGCTCGATCCGTTCCATCCGCTCCATCCGCTCTCTCGCCGCCGCCGCGCTCTCGGTCGGAGGCGCCGGTGGTGCCTCCGACACTGGCTCGGCCGGCGCCGCCTCTGCCTCCACCCCGGACCCGCTGCACCGTTTCGCCTCCGACTCAGACGTGACCTGGGAGCTTCGAGAGCTGCCCTCGGAGCACGAGCTCTGGCGAACGGATCCCCAACCGGCCACCGCGAGCCGCCACCGCCGACTCACTCTGCCGTGGCTCGACCTGCGCGAGCGTTGTGATGACCGACGCTGCTGCTGCACTCGCAGGCTCTCCTCGAAGGACCGGCGCTGCTGCTGCTGCGCCAGGTCAAAGGACCGGCGCTGCTGCCGTTGCGCCCGCTGAACCGAAATGTCTCCCGTGGAGAGTCGCTCGCGCTCAAAGGAGGAGCGTCGCTGCGGCTGCCGACACGTGAGGTCGCCCGCACACAGCGGCTCCTCGACCATGAGGGCGCGAAGGCGGCGAACAAGCCAGGCCATAAGGGCGACTTCACACTCGACGGGCGACTTCGGTGGAAGGCAAGCGCGGCGGCAAGTGCAACATCGAGTCACGCTGCGCAAAAGAATTTTGCTGGGGTCGATCATCCGTGCGGGAGAGAAGAGGGTATAGAACGTCCGCGCTTGCCATCTCACGAGTAACATATACCTGTAAAGAATCACGACGACCTTCCTAAGAAACATGAGTCGCAGACGACAGCGCGAGACGGGCGATTCAGGACCGCTGTCTTTCGGACTCCGTCAGCGAGCCATGCGCTCGGGCGGGGGCGGCGCGGGTCCGAACCGGTTCGCCTGCGCGGCGAGAATGAAGCTCGAGCCGTCGGTGGGCGAGAAGGCGCAGGTGCACTGGTTGTAGACCGCGGCCTTGAGCCTCTCGTACATCGGGGTAAGCTGCACGCCGCCGGCCTCGCCTGGCGGGGGGGCGGGGTGGCCCGCTCTCATGTACATCTCTCTTCTCTTTCTGCCCTCTTCTCTCTCTGCTCTCCCCCCCCCCCCCCCCCCTGGGGCTCTCTTCTCTTCTCCTCTCCTCTCTCCTCACCCTCGGGCCGCCGCGCGACCCGCTGCACCCAATACTGGTACGTCACGGCCGAGGAGGGGTCGAAGGGCGTCGCAAACGAGACGCGCATGAGCGTCTCGCCGGAAAGCCACGAGCCTGCGCGGGCCGCGCGCGCTCAGAGCCTCTCTCTCTCTCTCTCTCTCTCTCTCTCTCTCTCTCTCTCTCTCTCTCTCTCTCTCTCTCTCTCTCTCTCTCTCTCTCTCTCTCTCTCCCTCTCTCTCCCCCCCTCTCTCTCCCCCCCTCTCTCTCCCCCCCTCTCTCTCCCTCTCCCTCTCCCCCCCCCCTCTCCTTGTCAGCCTCACTCTCCCTGTCAGCCTCTCTCCGTCTCCTCCCGTCCCGTCCCGCCTCGCCTCGTCCAACCCCGGCACTCTGCCATCTCTCGGCAAGTCTCGCTCCATGCAGCACCTTCCGGCAGCGGTGCGCCGTCCGCGCCGACGACCACGTCGCCCTCCTGGGCACGCAGAGATCGGGTCGTGACTCTACGGCGTCTCATCTGCAGCGTGTCGCGCCCCCGCGCTCGAGATCCTGCAGCACGTAGATCCAGTTGGCTCCCTTTATCTGGTCGCCTGCCGAGAGACAGAGACTCGGGTGCTGGACGTGCAGCGGGCGAGGGCGGAGAGCAAGGGCAAGCGGCGAGCGGGGCGAGGGCGCACCGGAGGCGACAATCATGATCCAGCGCCCCGACGGCGACACCTGCAGGCGCCACCTCGGTGTGTGTGCTTCTCTGTTGTGTGTGTGCGTGTGTGTGTGTGCGTGTGTGTGTGTGTGTGTGTGTGTGTGTGTGTGTGTGTGTGTGTGTGTGTGTGTGTGTGTGTGTGTGTGTGTGTGTGTGTGTGTGTGTGTGTGTGTGTGTGTGTGTGTGTGTGTGTGTGTGTGTGTGTGACCCGTCTGTGCGGTCCCGTCTGTGCGGTCGCGTGTGCGAGTCTCCGGCTGACGGTAGGGAGGGCGACACCTCGAACGTGTGCCTGCCTCCCGTCACGCAGTCCCACCAAAAGGTGAGCCAGACGCCGCCTACTACTGGGAGGCGTCGCCGCGTCGCGGACGTGTGCCGGCGGCCTCGCGTGTGGGGGGAACACGAGCGCGACGCCGGTGCTGCAGCTGTCGACGGTCCAGTTGTACCCGGCCGTCTTGAAGAACAGCGAGTCCGAGAACCACTCTGCATCCTGCAGGGTCAGCAGGCCCTCGCCTGCGACGTTGTCCTCCATCCACCTTGTGACAGGCAGTTGGACGCGTCATGGACGTGTCGATGACATCGCCTTGCAACCCAGCGGCGCGACCCACCAGACGCCATCGTAGGCGGTCCGGCGCGTTGTCGAAGCGCGCTCGAGCATTCTTCCGAAGGCCGCCTCCGGCTTTGTGATCCGAAAGCTGTCCGTGGGGCAGCAGCAAGGCATGTCAAAGGCGGCGCGGCAGCAGGGACCGACGCACAGGCAGCTAGAGTTGATCACACAGCGCACGAGCCTCGCGGAGCAGCTCGAGCCGATCTGCGGCGGGTTGTAAACGGGCTTCCAGCCGGCCGCCTTGAGCTCGAACGCTGCCCACTCCTCGGGTGTCACCATGGCGGTGTTCATCACGGTGTGCCGATGTGAGGCGTCGCTCAGCGAGCGGCGGCGCGGCCTTCAGGGGGAATCATCTGTCACGCGTCCACCCATACCGCGCCTGATCCTTCTTCCTCGCCTCTTTCAAGTTGTAAAATTCTATTCACAGCCTTGTGATTGAGAAGAAAAGACGTCCTATGGCGCTGTGCGCTGGTCTGTGAGAGGTTCACACGGCGCAATCGCAGAGCAGGTTGTGAATGAGCTTGCCTGTGGCGGGGGTGGGCGGGTGCACGGAGCTAAGTGCCTCGCCACTCTCGCAGGAGTCGCTTAGATCCTCGCGGACAACGCCCTCTCGGGGCTCATCGACGAACTCTACTTTGAGGATCACGTCGTCGACAGCCCCATGGTGGAAAAGGGCTGGGACATCACGCTTCGGGAACCACACAACCGCCGGGCGAAGCCGCGGCTGCTGAGCGAGAGCTATCGGCTGTTCCAACTGCTGCGCATGCGGGGGATCAGAGCGCACTCGTGGGTTTAATGTTGATCGGGGGACGAAGCTGTTGAGCGCTGTCAGAGCGGTGTTTCGACACCATATCGTTCAAGAGTTTTTGATAAAATTGCGAACTCACATGCGATGTATCTACGCGAGACCCTCGTACCTCAGGAGCTTCTGCCAGCCGCGTCCAGTAATTTCGACGGCCTGCTTGTGCATCGTGATGCGTCTTGGACTCTCGGTCACGCGCCGCCTCGTGTGGAAGTGTAGTGGAAGTGAAGCAGTAGGCCTCCACGCGCCGTACCCATGTGCCGGTCGCCGCTGTTGGATGCTGCAGATACCATAGGGTGCCGGTGCAAGAATGGTAGAACGCTGGGCGTGGAGCAACCTTGCCTCTGTCGTCCCTCCTCTTGCTCGGGACAAGCTGAGCACAAGTTCTTGAAGGACTGTGCACAGGACGCGCGTCTTCTCTATGCTCGAGCCTAAGCCTGATAGTGACTGCCGTGGTGCCCCTCGCGATCGGTTCGTCCACAGGCCGCGCCTGTAAATGGTCTGGAAGACTTCTGCGTTTGATGTCCCATTTGCCACGACTCCGAAAGGAAGCACCGTGCTGCCCGCGCGCCGCGGCGGCCCGTTGTTCACCAGGCAGAGCATCGTCACCACCAACATTCTTCGGCGAGCGATGGGGGCCACACCCGTACCACACCCGCGACCGACCACCGTGAGCGTGACGCGCCCGACGCCAGCACGCCACCTCGACACCTAGAAGATGTTGCGGATTACCGTTCCTCGTCTCATCAGAGCATGCAATGTGCCTTGATTGTACTTTGTACTTTTCTCTGCGGCACCGGCTTGGTGACCGTGGATCGGGCGGTGCGGGATGGCAGGCGCCGCCCGTGCCTTGGGCGCTCCCCCCCCCCTCGGTGCTCCCCCCCCCCTTGACACACGACCCGTCATTTGGTGTGTCACCTGATGGTTTTGGGGCGCAGGCTGCGACTCCTGTGCTGCCTGCTGCGCTCCCGCCAGCGGATGACGGCGACCTCCTTGGCAGCCTGTTTGGCGCCATTGAGGCTCGCGCGCAGGCGGGCCTGGTTGTGAGATCCTCACGGAGCGGCGCACCGATGGGCTGGACGCGCGCCATCGTGAGCGAGTGCGTGAACTCCTCGCCAGAGGCTGGCGAGTGGGCGGCCGACGCGCGTGTGGAGCTTGGCTAGCCGGAACCAAGAGACCACCTTGGAGCACTTGGAGTGCAGTGAGTAACCGCACACACATCCATCCAGGGCCGGGGAGCTAAGAAGCGCACCCAGCGGGCCGGATGATTGGCATCGGGTTGCGGGCAAGAGAGCCCTAGCCCTGGGGGTGCGCGTTCGCAGGGCAAGGGCCGTAAAGTAAACACGGGGCTCCGAGGGTTGGCTCCGTGGACCGTGCAGCACTTGGAGTGCAGTCGGCAGCCTCACATTTGCGATTTTTTTGTTTGCGACGCTCGCAACCTCCCGGCCCCCGGGCCCCCGGCGTTTTGGTAGGAAGGGCAGAAGCGGCGGTTTGTGTTTCATTCAAAGAAATGGCAGTCGCCTTCTCTCTCACAAAGGCCTTTTTCGAATGGTTCTCCGCCTCCGATGGCGTCGCCGCGCTGCACAAGAAGCACATCGAGGGCGACGTGGCCCTGCACATGCTCAAGGGCACGCCGATGGCGGCTGCTCCGGATTCGCTCAAGCTCGATTTCGCACGCAGCGGCGCCGGCCAAGCGGTCGCCAACTTCATGAAGGCGGAGCAGCAGCACATTGGCGGCTGGAAAGTGGATCGCATCGTCGAGGCGGCTGGTTCGGAGTTCAACGCGGTCTGCTGGCGGCAGCGGCTCCTCGAGGAGGTGGCCTCGTCGCAGGTTGTCCTCTTTTCGTTTGTCGACTGCCCGTGGTGCCTCCTCGCCAAGGAGCGGCTCGCCGCCATCGAGGGGAATGAGGCGTGGCTGCCGGCAGGCAGCGTGCGCACGATTGAGCTTGAGGCGCGCGGGAGGGATGGCAAGGCGCTGCGCGCGGCCATAGCCGCCGCGACCGGGAGGACGTCCATGCCCTCTGTCTGGGTCGGCGGGCGGTGCGTCGGCGGCTTCACCGACGGGGACATGCCCTCGGGGGAGCCGGGGCTCTGCCTGGCCGCCTCACCCGGCTTTGAGGCGCTGGAGGCGAGCGGCCGCCTGCCGAGCCTGCTCGGCCACGAAACGTAGCGGCCGGCCGTGTGTGATATTACATCGAGGTTTTTTGGCAATTACGGGGTAAAAGGGGCTAAAACCGAGATAGCTCTCCGACAGGCACGACACACACACACAGCGAGGTAACGTACCGTAGTCCGTACGGACTGGGGGCGCGTGCCCCGTGCCGCGCGCGTGCGCGTGCAAAACCAATGGCAATGCCGCTCTCCCCGCCGCATCCCGCAGCCCCACAAGCGCCGCATGTCGGCTTCCCTGCTCGCTGCTTGTACGTTGTAGCTGAGGCCGCTGCTCTCCGTGCTCGTTGCTCGTTCTCACCGTCTTCGCTCCGCGCACAGCGCACAGTTGTCAGTTCTCAGCTGGACGAGATCGAACAGTGGTTGACAAAGCGGAAATATCGCGCACGAAAAACTCAGCGGCGGCGCCGCCGAGTTCCAAGAGAACAAAAATGGGCCCCGGTGCTGACAAGCACGTCAGGGCCCGCGGGATTGTGGTGTGCAGTGCTGGTGTGGAGTGTGGTATAGAGGCGTGGCGTGGTGGGATAGGGGAGAGGCGCGCATGGCAAGTGGCGTGGGTGGGTGTGTCGGGCGGTGAGGGCGGCGCACCTTCGTAGCTGCTGCTGGTCGGCCTGCAAGGTCACTCAGCTCGAGAGCTCTTCGAAAACCTCCTCGCCGGCTCAGCAGTCCATGCCCTTGACCTGGGCAGCGCGGGTGGTGGCGGGGTCGGGCGGCTTTGGGCCAATGCACGCGCCATAGGTGTGTCTGTGTGTGTGCGGGTGTGTGGTGTGGTGTGTGTGTGTGTGTGTGTGTGTGTGTGTGTGTGTGTGTGTGTGTGTGTGTGTGTGTGTGTGTGTGTGTGTGTGTGTGTGTGTGTGTGTGTGCGCGTTTCTAGCCGCGGTCGCCTTGGAGAGCGCCGGGAACCATTCGGACAGGCGAAGCGCCGCCAACGCCTCCGGCTCGAGACCGACGCACGCGAGCACCTGTTCATCTCGGGTGATCTCGGGTGATCTCGGGTGATCTCGCCTCAACTCGAGACCGGCGCACGCCAAGGGGGGGGGGGGGGCACCTGCGCGTCACGTGCCCGGACAGTCGTCGCTGGATACGCCGCGCTCCTTGCCTCAGACCGGCGCACGCGAGAGCGCCTCCAAGGCGGGGCAAGCGAGGGACGGCGCCTCGAGCGCGGTGCAGCGCGAGACGTCGAGCTTGCGCAGCCTACCCTCCCGGCCAGCCTCGCTCAGCCTCGCGCAATCTCGTCGGCGGGGGCGACGGCGAGCTTGCGCGGCCTCGGCGAGCGGACGCACGCGCGCTCGAGCGCCGCGTCGAGCAGCGCCGCGCACCCCGCGAGCTTGAGGTGCGAGAGGCGCCTGCGCGTGACGGCGGACTCTCCTCTCTTCTCTTCCCCCTTCTTCTCTTCGCTGCTCGTGACGGCGGACTCTCCTCTCTTCTCTTCTATTCTCTTCTCGGCGCCTGCTCGTGACGGCGGGCTCGTAGCGCACTTTTCCAGACTAGCAGCCCGCGGCGTGAGGTGCGAGGGGCGCCGCCGCCCTCGGCCTCGCACCATCTCGCCAGCCTCGGCCTCGACCATTTCGGGGTCAATCTCGGGTCAATCTCGGGCCACTCTCGGCTAATCAGCACCGGCCTCCAATCTCGGGTTCGAGCAGGGCTCCGCCTACGCCCAGCCCCGGCCAGCTCGGTCCCGCCTCCGTCGTTCTCTCGATCTCGCGGGCCGAGCTCGAGCGATCTCGCGGGCCGAGCTCGAGCGATCTCGCGGGCCGAGCTCAAGCGATCTCGCGGGCCGAGCTCGAGCGATCTCGCGGGCCGAGCTCGAGCGATCTCGCGGGCCGAGCTCGAGCGATCTCGCGGGCCGAGCTCGAGCGATCTCGCGGGCCGAGCTCGAGCGATCTCGCGGGCCGAGCTCGAGCGATCTCGCGGGCCGAGCTCGAGCGATCTCGCGGGCCGAGCTCGAGCGATCTCGCGGGCCGAGCTCGAGCGATCTCGCGGGCCGGGCGATCTCGGGCCGCGCGCAGTGGGAGAGGTCGAGCCGCAGCAGTGCCTCGTGGCGCAGGGCGGGCGAGCGGAGCGAGGAGCAGAGGGCGAGGCCGAGCCTCCGCAGGTGGGGGCTGTTCGCGCAGAGCTCCGCCGCAGCCGCGTCCTGCGGGCGCCGAGCAGCCGCGAGAGGGGGGGGCGTCAGGGGTGCTCTAAAAGGGATCCCGGCGACTGGCTCAGGCGTCGAGTCCTGCAGCGCCGAGCAGCCGCTGAGGTGTGCCTCGGAGAGCAGCGGCGCGCGGATCGTCGGCCGGCAGAGCGAGAGGCAGAGGGAGAGGCGGAGGGTAGCCAGGCGCGGTGAGCGTGCACACAGCCCGCTCACCGCCTCGTCGGTCAGCCTGTCGAGGGAGGGGGGGCAGAGGAGAGAGAAGGGGAGGGCAGGTGAGGCAAGGGCGGGAGGCGCGGGAGGCGAGGCAGAGGAGAGAGAAGGGGAGGCGAGGGGAGGGCAGGTGAGGCAAGGGCGGGGGGCGAGGGCGGACGTCTCCACGCACGCGCAGCAGGGCGGGGCCAAGGGTGTGGGCCGTGGCTCACCCGTCGCAGCCGGTGGCGATCAGCGAGCGGAGCATCTCCCCCCCTACAGGACAGTTCCGAGAAGGCTCCTCGGAGGCCGTCTCGCGAGAAGCGGGCGGAGGTGTCTCCCCTCTCGCCGAGAGTGGGCGACTGCAGGCTGCGGCAGTGGCTGACGTCGAGTCGCTCCAGCGATGACGCGGCGGCGCAGGCGGCGGTCAGTGTCTCGTCGCCCAACGTGTTGGCGGAGAGGTCGAGCTCTTTCAGGCGCGAGCCGGAGAGGCGCGGGGAGCGGAGGAGAGGGCACCCCGCCGCCAGGAGGTTGACCAGGGCAGGACATCGCCGCAGCGCGCCCACCAGCGCCTCCTCCGTCAGCTCGAAGCACTCGGAGACGTTCAGCTGCTTGAGCTGCGGCGCCGCGAGGCTCGGCCGGCGCAGCGCCGAGCAGCGCCACACGGAGAGCTCGCGGAGGAGGGGGGAGCCGCGGCAGAGGTCGTCGACGGCGCCGTCCTGAAGCGAGGCGCAGATGTACAGCGCCGCCACGCGCAGCCTGCGCAGCCCGCCCAGCCTCGGCCGCACCAGCTGCGCGTTGCAGGAAAGCTGCAGCTCCTCGAGCTGCGGAAGCGCCTCGGCGAGGCTCTCGAGGTCAGAGTCGGTGAGCGCGCCGCAGCCCGAGAGCTCCAGCCGGACCATCCGGCCGTGCGGCGCGACAGAGGGAAGGCCGAGCGACGGAAGGCCGGCCGAGAGCCTCGAGTGAGGCAGCCGCCAGGCCTGTGCGCAGTGCCGGCTGGCGAGGATCGGAAGCAGCCGCTTCAAGTCATCGAGGCCTCGAATGCGCAGCTCGCGAAGGGCGGGGAATCGGCACAGGGCCACCTCCGCGCGGGCCGCCGCGCCGGCGCCGCCATCCGCATAGGTGATGACCTGGCTATCGAGGGTTCGCAGCAACGAGTGGCTGACGGAGCGACGGCTGTCCCAGGCGTCGCCGCAGATTCGATGGATTCCGAGGATGATGTCGAGCAGGTTGTCGTCGGTGAGCACGTTGTCGGAGGGCGTAGTCGAGCAGGCGGCAGCGGCCGAATAGGTTGTAGTTGAGCAGGGTGAGCGGGCGGCGTTCGAGCTGCACGCTTGACTCTCCATTTTGGGCTTGAAGCTGCGGAACGAACTTTTTTTCTGACGTCCTCTTTTTCGGCCCCAGTGGAGGGCGCCCATCTGCACAATCTCCAGGCGGGGGAGGCGGTCAGCGCCGCCTCCCTGCCGGTGCGGGCCGTCAGCGTACACTGTGAAGCCATGCTGTCCTCCCGAGGTCTCTGATAAGAGAAGGTTCCCGGAAGTCTCCACTTTCTGGCGCTTGGCTCGGTCCCCCGCGAAAGACACCTGCGGGGGCGCAAGCGCGCCGCTGACGCCCGAGGGGGCAAGGCGGCTCGCGGCAGCTTCCCATGCCGCCTCCGCCTCTGCGCCCTTGGGTGCGGGCCCTCGGCGGGAAGGGGCTTCACTCGCCGCTTCCGCCTCTACCCCCTGGTGAACCCCCGGGGTGGCCCTGGTGATGGGTAAGCGTGCCTCCTCCTCCCGCGCGGCCCTTGACCCCGGGCCGCCGGGAAGCTCGAGGCCCCCACTCATGTAGCGTCTCTTCACTCGGATGCTCTGAACGGGTTTTTACTTCTCACACCATTAAAGAAAGAAATACAAAAAGCCCCCCCACTTAAATCGGCCAGCCGCCACTCCGCTTGTGGCTCGGCCGATTTTGCCCGAGTGGTCAATTCCCCCCACACACTTACTTAGACGAGACACGATCTCTATCTCAACATATCTCCTTCGACGCCGCATTTCCAAGTTTGGTGCCCAGCTCGTTGGGCGAGGGACTGTTTGAGCTCGCTATCTCCGATGGCGGCACAAATATACTTCAGTCCTTCTTGGAGGCTCGACTTGTGCGCCTCGAGCTCCTTTGCGCCCCTAGGCGTCGGTGGCGCAGGCCCGAGGGTATATTCAGAGATACCCTCTGAACGGGTTTTTACTTCTCACACCATTAAAGAAAGAAATACAAAAAGCCCCCCCACTTAAATCGGCCAGCCGCCACTCCGCTTGTGGCTCGGCCGATTTTGCCCGAGTGGTCAATTCCCCCCACACACTTACTTAGACGAGACACGATCTCTATCTCAACATATCTCCTTCGACGCCGCATTTCCAAGTTTGGTGCCCGAGTGGTCAACTATGACCAAACTTGGTCGGTTATAACCGATGGCGTCCACTCGATCGAACCTCGAGACCCCAGTTCGAGACCGAGTCTCGAATCTGTGTCATAATGCGGTTCGTATGCGTACGTCCGTGTGTGTGTGTGTGTGTGTGGTGGGGGGGGGAAACACGTGTGAACACAGTGTGTGTGAATTCAGGACGAGCAGCCCATACCGCCTAGCTCCGTGGACGGGGCCCCTCCCCCCTTCACGTACGGATCATGTAGTCCCCACAATCGCTGTCGTGGCTTGTGCTTGTCATGTGAGAAAGTATCCCGCGCTTTTCTTTCTGGACTGCTCTCGATGGCCTCCCACCGCATCGGCGCCCGCCTCTCTGGCCTCTCGCCAGAGAATCTCCTCGCCTTCATCGACGAGCAGGCGCCCCTCTGGAGCGCCGCCGCGCTGCGCGTGGCGGAGGAGCACGCCGCACGGGTGGAGCAGCCCGAGTGGGTGCTCTCCGAGGTCCTCCTCTCGCCGGACCTCGCCCCGCACATCCTCGCCCAGCTGCCGACCAAGGAGCACGCCATCAAGGGCACGTGCCGCGCGTGGCGCCGCGGCTGGAAGGAGACGCTGAAGACGCGCGATCGGCCGCGCCTGCTCGTGATCGGCGGCCGCGGCAGCGACGGCGAGTTCCTCAACTCACTGGAGCGGTACGACCCGTCTACAAATGAGTGGGAGGAGGACGCTGTGGCGCCGATGCCGACGCCACGAAGGTATATCGGCACGGCGGTGCTCGATGGCAAGTTCTACGCGGTGGGCGGCGTGGAGCGCAACGTCGGACTGTCCCCCTCGGTGGAGCGGTACGACTTGGCGACAAAAGCGTGGGAGGCGGTGGCGCCGATGGGGACGACTCGCGCAAATCTCGCAGCTGTAGTGCTCGACGGCAAGCTGTACGCTGTGGGCGGGTTCGGCGGCGGATACAACGGCCTCAGCTCGGTGGAGCGGTACGACCCGGCGCTGAACGCGTGGGAGGCGGTTGCGGCGATGGGGACGGCGCGGGGGGCCTCCGCTGTGGCGGTGCTCGACGGCAAGTTGTACGCTGTGGGCGGCGAATCCGATGACGATAGCCGCCTCCGATCAGTCGAGCGGTACGACCCAGCAACCAACGCATGGGAGGCAGTGGCGCCGATGGCGGCGCCGCGGTGTACCCACGGCGTGGCGGTGCTCGACGGCAAGCTGTATGCTGTGGGCGGATACGACGATTACGACGGCTACCTCAGCTCGGTCGAAAGGTACGATCCGGCTGCAAATGTGTGGGAGGCGGTGGCGCCGATGGCGACGGGACGGAACAGGCTCGCTGTGGCGGTGCTCGACGGCAAGCTGTACGCTGTGGGCGGCACGATTTATGACGATGAGGCTGAGGCCGAAAGGTCGGCTACCACGGTAGAGCGATTCGACCCGGCCACAAACGCCTGGGAGGAGGTGGCGCCGATGGCGACGGCACGGGCCTACCATGCTGTCGCACTTCTGATGGAGAGAGAGGGGCATACGGCTTGAGAGGCCACAGCTAGAGCGAGGTGTTAGAATACTGTCTCGCAGGGGGCTGCTTCTTTTTACCCATCTCCTAGTAAGGGTGTCTCTTTTTATTTCTTTACTCGTGTTTCTTCTTTTTACGAAGGAGAAAGGACCACAGGGGAGGGTGCGACTGAGGACTGTCCCATCCGCCCCCTACTGTTCCTCATCCAGGCAGGGCGACTCGACTCCTGTAAAGCGTCGCGCTCGCCACCCGGACCGCCTGCTCGAGCAGCGCGGCGCGCGGGAAGCGCGCGCAGGTGAGCGCCGCATGAGGATCGTGCTTGTCGCAGCCCGTGTTTTCGCTCAGCACCTCGCCGACCGTCCCCTCGGCTCCCGCCTCGGCCCACTCGCCGACGGCGGCGGTCGGGAACTGCACGCCCGCGCTGGTGGCCATGGCCTCGCCGCCGGTCGCCAGATCGCGGACGATCACCACCTACACGGACTCTCGGGCATGTCGTGGACGTGTCCTGGACGTCGCCAAAGTCTCGGAGGCTGACCACCGCCACATCGACCCACGTCTCCTCGTCGCCAGAGAGCGCGCGCAGCAGGCCGCTCTCGATCGCGACGGCGAGGTCGGCGCCGGCCGCCTCGTCCGTGGCGAGCGCCTGAGAGAGCCGGTTCTTGGCGCCGCGCATCGTCTCGTCGAGGCCCGTAGGCTGCTCCGCGACCAGCGACGGCACCTTGCGAGGGAAGGTGGCGTACTACTAAGGGGCGGAGGCTGGGGCGACAGTCGGTGGCGGTGGCTGGCACCTTGCAGCCGACGACAGTGCAGCCAGTCGCGGCGGCGACCGCCAGCAGCTTCTGCCGAGCGGTGCTCGCTACGAGGGCGACGCGTGGACGGGCGACGCGGCGACGGGCGAGGGCGTAGGCAGCGGCGGCGGTCGCAGCGGCTGTGGCGCCGACAGCGAGCAGGCGGAGCATGGCCGCGTCGTGAAGCAAGCACGGATTCGTATATTTGTTTTTGGTGGACCGGGCGTCATGCCGGGGTAGGTAGGGTAGGTCTGGGCTGTGTTTTGTGGGACACGCGCTTGTCCTTTTCTTTTGTTGGCGCTGCAGCTGTTGTCGTCCAGGAGCTTGCTGCAGCGCGTCCGCTCTCTGGCGCCGAAAGCATTCCCCCCGACCGCGCCTCGCCTCCCCGCAGGAGCGTCGTCGGCAGCGACCATGGCGGGCGGCGGCGACTTGTGAGCGCACCCAGCCACCGGCGCCGCGCAGTCTGCTGCGCGCCTCTTTCCTCCGCGCGTTCCCTGCGCGCGAGCCCACCGTGTCGCGCGTTCCCTGCGCGGCCCACCGTCGTGTCGCCCGCACGCAGGATGAAGGGCGTCGTCAAGAACTACCGCGTCTACTCGTGGTCTGGCATGGAGACCAAGGCGCGCAGCGCCTGCGCGCAGCGGCCGCCGCGCAGCAATAGTAGGAGTAGCTACCGGCGCGTGCGGCGTGAGGGCCGCCGCTGCCGCCGCCCGGCGCGTCCCGCGGCCGGGTCGGCGGGAGGATCTAGGGCACCAGAGGCGGACGCGCGTCGGGACGCAACAGCTGCTAAGAGATGCGGGCGGCAGGAGGGTCAGGAGGAGCGGGCGCGGCCTGGCGTTGGTCGCACGCGGCGGGTGGGCCAGGGCGGTGGCGGGCTCGCCCAGTAGCGGCGCCATCGCGCCCCATCCTCGTGCGGCGGCTCACGCCTCTCCCGCACCACCCCTTCGCAGGCGTTTGGCGGCTTCTGGTACGAGATCAAGAAGAAGGTGGTGGGCAAGGGGACCGAGGTCGCCTCCAGCTGGTACAGCTTCTGGCCCGCCATGCTCGGGAGCTACGGCCTGGTCAAGTGGGCCGAGGGCTATTTCGCGAACGAGCAGCTCAAGCACCGCGACTGACACCGCGACTGCGCTCCACCACAATATAGCCAATGTAGACTGGGGCCCGCGCGTGCAGAGCGGGCAGTAAAAACATTTAGCGCGTCTTTTCATCCTGCTACAGGTTTTTTATCGCGCCCCGGGATGTCGGTGATTCGATCGTGGCAAGTGGGCACCACTCTCCTCGCGCTGACTACATATACAGCGGCAATCACGCCGACACACACGCACCGCCTGCCGCTGCTCGCTTCGGCCCATCCCACTTCACGCACGCCTTTGCCAGCTTTGCGTGACGGCCGGCCGTCGGGCCGACGCGTCGGCGGCACGCCACCACCGCCTGCGCCTGACCCGCCGGCCGGCGGCCAGGCGCGCGGTTCGCTCGCGGCGCCGGCAGTCGCCCTCGGTGCGCCGTAATCCTGCTTGTGCTCCACTCCAAGGAGCACAACCCTTTCAGCCCTGACCCTCTGCTTGAGGTGCGGCGGTCCTGCTCGTGCTGTCCTCGCTGCGCGGCCCGATGGGCGGCGTCTCATACTCCTTCACCTCGTACTCGGAA